CTATTGCCTAAAGTTCAGTTTTGATTTTGCCGAAAATCCAGCGAAAACACAACTTTTGGCAATTGCCAAAAGTCACTTGCGAAAGTCTGTACTGCAAAATTCGCATTCCCCTTCCAAACGCATACGGCAAACGCATTCGAAACGAGTAGATCGGCATATGTTCGCGCGTTCTGAACGCGTCCACTCTATCGTTTCAAACGCGTTTTCTATATTGTATCAAACGCATTCTTCACTGTAAGTTTTTTTGAAACTCTAGGAATGCCTTGGCTACGTTCAGCAATTTTTAACTTTTATAATTCGCTAGTTGATTTTCGCGAATCTATAAGTTCAAATTTATTTTCCAGCAAAAAGCTGTAGATTGAAAATCGCTAGTGATTTTCAAATATTTGGAAAATGTTGGTTGAATACATATAGGCATTCCTAGAATATCCTTCAAAAAATTCTATAACTTATTTTCTAGTTTACATTGTATATATCAACTGATAGATTGTTTTCAAATCTATTTTTATGCTGTAATTCGAAAAAATAAAAATGATTTTGATAAATTTTACAAAAGCGCACAGGTCTGACATTCTAAATACTTTATATTTCAATAGCTATTTATTTCTATTCTTTTCAGGCAATCTCGATCAGAATTTAGTAAGTGCATCACACATATGGAAAGCTTCCACTAAAGGCGTCGGGTGTGGGTGTAAGTGTCTCTTCTTCATCCACACCCTCACTCACTCACCCACCCCACCCACACCCTAATTATATTAGTTCATCTACTAAATTACAAGAACGCATAAATATATTATCAAAAATTTATAAGCAAAACTCATATGAATCAAAAGTATACATACAATTATACTCAAGCCACACACATCTTCATCTTCATCCATTGTAATTGATAATGGAATACTACAAAGTTCACTATTACCAATCATTATTTTCTTCTCAATAGTGATAAAATCAAAGATATATCAAGAAATGTAGGTTCTAAACAATCAGAATGTTGTGCAAGAATATGTTGAAGAGGAAAATATGAATATTTCATACAATTTGTTGCCAAAAAAATTATACTCAAGCCACTAACTTGTGAGTGGACTACTAAGCTAGAAGATGATATGGTAAAAAATAAGGTCGAGATGATTGATCCACCGTTTTTGGAGTTGGACTATGATTGTATTACACAAATTTCCAGCATAAAACGATACATGATAGAGATCTTCAACCTCATTGATTTTACTTCACTACCGATTATTACAATAAATGGAACACATCACGACGAAGAATCGATTAAAAAACTTACAAAACACTTCTTTAATTATAATGTCTTCTCTATCAATGGTACAGATTTATTTGGAGGTGTCTTAGTTGCTGTACATAAATCAATTCATACTCAAAGAATAGTTGGATTTGACAATATACCGAATCTTGAAGATGGGAGTGGGTGTCTCTTCTTCATTCACATCCACACACACCCACACCCTTATTATAATAGTTCATGTACTAAAATACACGAACGAATAAATATATTATTAAAAATTCATAAAACAAAACTGATGAATCAAAATTATCTGAAGAAATATAAAAATTTCATAAAAAGTGGATTATCTTCTACAACAAAATAATGATCGAGTTAAAAATGATTTAGATTGCTGGGATTCAACCTCAACACGAACTACCGAAGAACAAGACGAATTTAAGAACAACCTTATTTTATATTATAAATGCGGTCAAACAAATACGAAAAAAATCAAGTGCATGATTTTAAATAAATTTTTCGATCGCAATTTAGTAAGGGCCTCTCATATATGGAAAGTTTCCACTAAAGATATAGAATTAAAAAAATTTATATTCAAAGAATCTGATATTAGTAATATACTAAATGGTTTATTAATGTACAGACCTACTGAAAAAGGTTTCGATCTAAAAATCTATGTTTTCTTTATAACCCATTTGTTGGTAATTTATTTATCAAGATTTTATGTACTGATCTTAAAGAAAAGTTTATCGTCGACGATACCACAAGGACAGTTGTTAATGGATTTAGAACATTCATCCCAGACCAGAAAGCAACGGCAATGTAAGTGATGTAAAAACACCGTTTTATAATCGTTTCAGGCCGTTTGAGACGCCGTTTCCGATGGTCGGAATGATCGTGCTGGGTATTTGTTTATTTTTATTCAAACGCTAACTTCGTATGAACTTAAAATTGAGGTAACAAAAGTACTTTTTTTGGAACTGTACGTGTATATATTTGTTTGTATTTTGTTATATTTCAAAGAAACCATTATATATCATCGAATTAGCCGACTTTGATCAAAGCCAATATCATATTGATTATGAAGTTTATAAGTGCCGTGTCGAACTGATTTTTACAAAAGACGAAAATATAATGAAAATCTATTTAAATGTAAGGAAATATTTTTGAACTGTGAGTAATTTTTTCTATTTCAAATTGTAGAACATGAATAAGAGTTTTCATGAAAGCATTCAGTTAGGTATCGATTCTTTTCTGGAAACAGTTGAAAAAGATACATACAAGTAAAATATTTTCTAACAACTTTCTTTTTGTATTTCTTTTTGTTTGTAGATTAAGTAATTTAGCCGAATTAAGTGATACACTACTCCAATTCATCACTCATGAAAATGAAAATGAAAATGCATGAAGTTTAACAACAACAATAGGTGCATTCAATTCTAGAGTGTACACTATATAGTATTTATTTTCATTTTATTGTTAAAAAGTTTTCATTTTTCTCATGTTGTCTGATTGTAAATTTCTTCTTGATAATGGTGAAAGTTTTTGTCGAAAGTTTGAATAAAATAAGCTTTTGGATTTTGAAAAAAATTCTATGTATTCTATAACAGTCATTTACTCTTTTATTTCTTCATTTATCTTTACTGCTTTTCCTAATGAATTTATGACATTAGTACTACATCATATGATAGAAAGTAATAGAACACAATATAATTATTTCTTTTCTAAATAAAATATCATTATGAATCATCATAACTTCTAAGATAATTATTCATCTTTATCCTATGGCAATTTAATAAATAAAAATATTCTTTCAACTATTCAAAAATGAATGCGTTATTATTCTTCTTGACGGTATCAATCAAATACGATCAATGAACATATTCTCTTAATTTTGTGTTGATTTGTCTATTATGTTTGACCGTATATTAATATTGACTTTTCTCAGATGCAACAAACAGAGAAACGAAGATAAATATGGAATGTTCGTGTGTTCAATTAGATGATTTACCTGATGAAGTTCTTTTGAGTATATTTAAAAAATTGAACAATTTTGATATACGTCATTGTTTTCATGGTATTAAAAATAAACGATTGAATAAAATTGTGCGTGGGGTGGGTGAGTGTAAGCGTATTCTATTCATTTCACACTCACACCCACCCTCAAGATTTTATTCATGAAGTATGATTTTTTTAAACTATAGTTATATGTTCAAATTGACTAATCACATTGAAAATGATTATTTATTTACACAGTATTGACCTTTTAATCAAACCACATTCAACAACTTAATAAATAATCTTTACTCAAAGATTCAGCGCAAATAATTTGAAGTATGTTAGTGACGAATAGATGAACAAATGTAGCGTTAGGGTGAAAACGAGAATATAGTTTTATTGGACATGTAATTATACTAACTGCCTTACACACTAATATCTTCACCTACACCCATGACCGTTAGAGGTATTCACATTCACATTTCTATACAGAAAAAATTAAATTGCTCTTTTGTTCCTTTATTTCAAACGATGGTGAAACGATAATAACATGCTCAGTTTATTGCAGGCATCAACAACGAGCTTCGGTTATAATTGGAATCCTGTAAGAATTTTCCTCTCGAAGGTGAGGGTGTGTGGATAAATTGATGCACGTCAGTTAAAATGAAAGTACAATGATGTATGTCTACTTTTCAAACTCTTTTTCATTATTTTATTTTATAAAATAAACATAAAAAACACGATAATTAAAAATGGTCCGATGTTATTGTTTACTGTAGATAAAAAACAATCAGTTGTAGTTCTCCATTATAATCTTCAAATGGTCTTCGACCATCACTCGATATAAATGTTGGTAAAGAAATTGATGTAAATTCTTTTCCTTTCAATTTCTTTGTGTAAATATGATATGTAGCTGGATTTGCAACTTCAACAAATACTTGTTTAAATCCACGTTGGCGACAATAAATGAGCAGAATCTGCTGAAGTTTCGTGGCAAGTCCTGTTAAACATAAGACAGAGATTTAAAAGGATGGATTCTTTTCGAAAGTTCTTAACAAAAAAATCATGAGCGTTTCGAAATCTCACCTTTTCCACTGCAATCTTGTTGAACACCCACCAGCAATATTTGCACTAAATTATTTTCCTTTAGTACACCGCACTCTTTCATGAAGCATTTCTCCATTTCTTGCAGTGCTTCCAGCACGTCTTTGGAGGGATCTACATCATCGAAATTCTGTCCCTCCAGTGTTAAGACATTGGCAGCCAGCACAACACCATGAATTTCCTTCGTTTGTTTATGTACTGCTATGATGGAGAGTTGATCTTCTAAAGTAGCTTTTGCGATTGCTAATGCATAGGAATAGAATTGTTCGTAGGTAGTTTTCAAGTAGGCTTCAATTGGATTGTATTTAGTAAAAGTATGTGCAATAAGTCTAACCGATTCTTCCAAGTCTTTTTCCATTAAGATTCCATACGTGTAGATTTCATCTTCATCAATAATGTGAGACATTATGAATATTTGTTAAGAACGTACTGTTGCAATATAAAACTAAATGTTGTTTGCTCGCACGTTAAATAGAGAATAGAAAGAAAACAAAAACGTTTTAATTGCTAGGCAATAATAAAATATGTTGAAGAGAAAAGAGAAAAACAATGTTGGTAATACATGAGATATGTTGGTATTGTTTGTTAGTTACATAACAACGAACGAAAGAAAAATAATATTTTGAGTGTTGGTGAAAGTGTTTGAGAGCGTGTCGTCCTGACTAGAGGTCATACTACTCGAGATGATTCGTTCGAAGATGGTGAAAGTGATTGAGAGCGTGTCGTCTTGACTAGAGGTCATACTACTCTAGGTGACTAGTTCGAAGATGGTAACCTAGGTTTACGCAGAGAAAACGCGTTCCAAACGGACAGCGCGAATTTTGCAGTACAGACTTTCGCAAGTGACTTTTGGCAATTGCCAAAAGTTGTATTTTCGCTGGATTTTCGGCAAAATCAAAACTGAACTTTAGGCAATAG